TTACAAAGAGACTTACACTCCCACACAATAACAGCGGGAGACTTTAACACTCCACTGTCAATATTAGACAGATCAACCAGACAGAAAATCAACAAGGATATCCAGGGCTTGGACTCAGACCTGGAGCAAGCAAACCTGATAGACATTTACAGAACTCTCCACCCCAAATCCACAGAATATACATTCTTCTCAGCACCACATCACACCTACTCTAAAATTGACCACATAATTGGAAGTAAAGCACTGCTCAGCAAATGCAAAACAACTGAAATCATAACTAACAGTCTCTCAGACCATAGTGCAATCAAGTTAGAACTCAGAATTCAGAAACCAACCCAGAACCGCACAGCTTCATTGAAACTGAACAACTGGCTCCTGAATGTTGACTGGATAAACAATGAAATGAAGGCAGAAATAAAGAAGTTCTTCGAAACCAATGAGAACAAAGAAACAACATGCCAGAATCTCTGGGACACATTTAAAGCAGTCTCTAGAAGAAAATATATAGCAGTAAGTGCCCATATGAAAAGAATGGAGAGATTCAAAATTGACACCCTATTGTCAAAATTGAAAGAGCTAGAGGAGCAAGATCAGAAAAACTCAAAACCTAGCAGAAGACAAGAAATAACTAAGATCAGAGCAGAACTGAAGGAGATAGAGACATGAAAAACCCTTCAAAAAATCAATAAATCCAAGAGCTGGTTTTTTGAAAAGATCAACAAAATAGACAGACCACTAGCCAGATTGATTAAAAAGAAAAGAGAGAACCACCAAATAGATGCAAGAAAAAATGATAAAGGGAAAATCACCACAGATTCCACAGAAATTCAAAACATCATCAGAGAATATTACAAACAACTCTATGCACATAAACTAGTAAACCTGGAAGAAATGGATAAATTCCTGGACTCCTGTGTCCTCCCAAGCCTAAACCAGGAGGAAGCTGAAATTATGAATACACCAATAACAAGGTCTGAAGTTGAGGCAGCAATTAAGAGCCTACCACACAAAAAAGCCCAGGTCCAGATGGGTTCACAGCCGAATTCTACCAGACACACAAAGAGGAGCTGGTACCATTCCTTCTGAAACTATTCCAAATAATCCAAAAAGAGGAATCATTCCCAAATCATTTTATGAGACCAATATCATCCTGATACCAAAACCCCACAGAGACCCAACAAGAAAAGAAAACTTCAGGCCAATATCCATGATGAACATAGATACAAAAATCTTCAATAAAATATTGGCAAGCCGATTGCAACAGCAAATCAAAAAACTTATCCATCATGATCAAGTAGGATTTATCCCGGGGATGCAAGGTTGGTTCAACATACGCAAGTCTATAAATGTAATTCACCACATAAACAGAAACAAAAACAAAAACCACATGATTATCTCAACTGACACCTAGAAGGCATTCGACAAAATTTAACAGCCCTTTATGCTAAAAACCCTCAATAAACTCGGTATCGATGGAACGTATCTCAAAGTAATAAAAGCTATTTATGACAAACCAACCGCCAATATCATACTGAATGGGCAAAAACTGGAAGCATTCCCTTTGAAATCTGGCACTAGACAGGGATGCCCTCTTTCACCACTCCTATTCAATATAGTACTGGAAGTTCTAGCCAGAGCAATCAGGCAAGAAAAAGAAATAAAGGTATTCAAATAGAAAAGGTGGAAGCCAAATTGTCTCTATTTGCAGACGACATGATAGTATACCTAGAAGACCCCATTGCCTCAGCCCAAAAACTCCTGAAACTGATAAGCAACTTCAGCAAAGTCTCAGGATATAAAATCAATGTGCAAAAATCACAAGCATTCCTCTACACCAATAACAGACTTAAAGAAAGCCAAATCAAGAACGAACTGCCATTCACAATTGCTACAAATAGAATAAAATACCTAGGAATACAACTCACAAGGAACGTAAGGGACCTCTTCAAGGAAAACTACAAAACACTGCTCAACGAAATAAGAGAAGACACAAACAGATGGAGAAACATGCCATGTTCATGGTTAGGAAGAATTAATATCATGAAAATGGCTATACTGCCCAAAGTAATTTACAGGATCAACGCTATCCCCATCAAGCTACCATTGACTTTCTTCACAGAACTGGAAAAAACCACCATGAACTTCATATGAAACCAAAAAAGAGCCCGCATAGCCAAGTCGATTCTAAGCAAAAAGAACACAGCGGGGGGCATCACACTACCGGATTTCAAACTATACTACAAGGCTACAGTAATCAAAACAGCATGGTACTGGTACCAAAACAGAGATATAAACCAATGGAACAAAACAGAGGCATCGGAGGCAGCACAACATATCTACAACCATACAATCTTTGATAAACCTGACAAAAACAAACAATGGGGAAAGGATTCCCTGTTTAACAAATGGTGTTGGGAAAACTGGCTAGCCATGTGCAGAAAGCAGAAACTGGACCCCTTCCTGACACCTTACACTAAAATTAACTCCAGATGGATTAAAGACTTAAACATAAGACCTGACACCATAAAAACCCTAGAAGGAAATCTAGGCAAAACTATCCAGGACATAGGAGTAGGCAAGGACTTCATGAACAAAACACCAAAAGCATTGGCAACAAAAGCCAAAATAGACAAATGGGACCTAATGAAACTCCACAGCTTCTGCACGGCAAAAGAAACAGTCACTAGAGTGAATCATCAACCAACAGAATGGGAAAAAATTTTTGCAGTTTACCCATCTGACAAAGGGCTGATATCCAGAATTTACAAAGAACTCAAACAGATTTACAGGAAAAAAACAAACAAGCCCATTCAAAATTGGGCAAAGGATATGAACAGACACTTTACAAAAGAAGACATACATGAGGCCAACAATCATATGAAAAAATGCTCATCATCACTGGTCATCAGAGAGATGCAAATCAAAACCACATTGAGAAACCATCTCACGCCAGTTAGAATGGCAATCATTAAAAAATCTGGAGACAACAGAGGCTGGAGAGGATGTGGAGAAACAGGAACACTTTTACACTGCTGGTGGGAGTGTAAATTAGTTCAACCATTGTGGAAGACAGTGTGGCGATTCCTCAAGGCCTTAGAAATAGAAATTCCATTTGACCCAGCAATCCCATTACTGGGTATATATCCAAAGGACTATAAATCGTTCTACTATAAGGACACATGCACACGAATGTTCATTGCAGCACTGTTTACAATAGCAAAGACCTGGAATCAACCCAAATGCCCATTGATGATAGACTGGATAGGGAAAATGTGGCACATATACACCATGGAATATTATGCAGCAATCAGAAATGATGAGTTTGTGTTGTTCGTAGGGACATGGATGAATCTGGAGAACATCATTCTCAGCAAACTTACACAAGAACAGAAAATGAAATACCATATATTCTCACTCATAGGTGGGTGATGAAAAATGAGAACACACGGACACAGGGAGGGGAGTACTAAACACTGGGGACTATTGGGGGGGAAAGGGAAGGGCCAGTGGGAGGCGGAGCTGGGGAGGGATAGCCTGGGGTGAAATGCCAAATGTGGGTGAAGGGGAGAAAGGAAGCAAAACACACTGCCATGTGTGTACCTATGCAACTGTCTTGCATGTTCTGCACATGTACCCCAAAACCTAAAATGCAATAAAATTTTAAATAAATAAATAAAAATATATAATCAGCATTAAAAAAAAAAGTTCTTTTGATTTCCAATAGAAATAAATAGGAAAGCAAATAACTTTTAAAACCTGATATACAATGTTCTGTATTTATAGTAGCTCAGTGTGGTGAATTCTACTACTAAACTCTATCAGTAAAGATGTCAATATCATGCTAATCACAGGGACTAAAGCAACTTCTCTATCAATTATTAAAATATCACATATTTTAAACCTTCTAACTTAATGAACTTCCGTTTGTGCTTCCACTACAATTTTAAAGTACATGTCTTGATTTAATTAAAGTAAATTTAAAATTTTTACTTTAAATGGAAGCATTTTGCCTATCAAATGAACAATGATTAAAAAAAAGTTAACAAGAAGGTGGGGTATTTGGTAAGTCAGGAACTTTATAAGATGCTACTGTTTGACCCAGCCATTATACTTTCAGAAATCTCTTCAGTACTATTGCAATTATCAGAAAAGCAGAAAAACAAGATTAAAAAGATGTTCAATATAGTATTATTTATAATCATAAAAATTCAAAAAATACTAAGAAGCCTACAATGGGGATAAAAATTTTAAGAAACAGAGTAAAAATTAAATATGCTTATAAGACAAGGTTAAGAGAAAACGGGAATAAACAGAGATAAATTGATTCACCATCATAAAATGTTCTTCAAAAAGTGGAAGGTCAAATCAGAAACCAAAAAAATCAAATACTGCAGGTTCTCTTTTGTAAGTGAGAGCTAAATAATGGGTACATAGGAACATACAGATGAAAACAAGAAACTGTGGGGACTCCGAAAGGTGTGAGGGAGGGAGGAAAGGCTTGAAAAACTACCTGTTGGGTACTATCTTCACTATTTGGGTGATGGGTTCCCTAGAAGCCCAAACCCTGGAATTATGCAATATACCCATGAAACAAACCTGCAAATGTATCCCTGAATCAATACCAAAAAAAAAAAAATAGTAGAAAGACATACATATTACAAAATTAATAATGTATTGCTGGGAGGTGAGAGTACAGAAACTTTATTTAATTGTTTATATTTTTTGTATGTAAGTTAACTTTATCTCTACACATAACCTGTAAAATGAGAAAACAGTGATTTACAAAGATGCAAAATTTACGGTTTTTGAAAATCACATTTAAATGCATTGTATTTTATGGGGCTTCTTTGTTTAAATTAAGACAGAGTTGACACAATTCTTAAACAACACACAAGTTCTTTCTGCAACCTCACTAGCAGTAACACTGCAATGACTCCATTTTTTCTCAATATTATACACCCATTTTCGCCATTTTAAATAGAATTGAAATTTTTGCTTACTTTACCACAATATTTCCTAAACTCCGAGCCTTCAGTTTTTGCATGTTGTCATCCAAAATCATAACTGCAAAGTAAAATATAAATATTTGAATAAAAATAGCCTTAAAGCTTAAGCATATTTCTATAATTTTTATATTCAACCCCAAAAATCTCTAGCTTAAGAAAGTAATCTTTTAATTCCTTGAGACTGTGAACATATATAAACTAAAATAGCTTACAAAAAAAAAGAGCACATCTATTTGATTCCTAACATCAGACATTTGCTTTCAGAATATTCCTTAAATGAAGAGATCATATCTCAAATATGCAGTAATTTTATGTCTATGTCCACTAAATATATCCTTGTAGTCTATTAGAAGCATTAAAAATGTGTCCAGCTTTTTTAAAAGTAAAGGAAATGAAGTTTTCGAACACACCAAAAAATATTATACACAACAAAAATAAAGGGCTTACAAGCACCATAAACGCCTTATTCTGATTTAAAGCTTAATATCCACTTAGGAGCTTTAAATTAGGTCCATTTAATCTTCCCAAATATTATCTCAATACTTTCTATGCTGTCCTGATAAAATCCTAAACAAGTTTAGGAGATCAAAGCTTGTATCCACATTCAGTAACCCTTGGTGCAAACTAAATATGAAGATAAGTCATCATCTTCTAGGTTTTAATAGATTACTATATGTAGCCCCATTCATCCAGGTAATTCTACCTTAAGCAACTATGAGAAAAGAAGGATGCGGGTCTCAGAAAAAAATTGTTTCCTTCTTTGTGTTCTTGGAGCATTTTGTTTTGAAATTCCATATTGACAGTTAGTAGAAGTACCTGTATCTCACTAGGTTGTGAGTTCACAGAGGCCAGAGCTAATACATTTTTGCTTCCCTAAGTATCAGTACAGTGGCCAAATCACTATATGCCCCTGCGTACATTCTGTTACCCAGTTTCCCTGTCTATGAAATGAGAGAAATTTCTTTCTCATAGTGCTTATGCAAGAAGTATTTTTAAAATGCATATGAAACAACAAGCTTGCATATGTTACTCAATAAATGTGTTATATTAAATTAAACATTTTTTATCACAATGGTTTCTTTTATTTCCTAAAAGGATCTTGTCTTTTTTATCATACTACAGAATATTACATTACAGTTTTAATCTCTAAATAATTATAAAAGTTATAAAAATACATTAAAAAAATCAGTCATAAAGTCACTGGTTCCTTGGTTATAAATGTTTAACCTGTACTGTCTGCAAGCCAGTTGCTTTCAGACAATAAGAAACTTCTGTATTGAAGTTCCATGGGCATCAAAGCTTAACTATTTCTTACAATTAGATATAAAAATGGTACTGAAATACTAACAGAGAAATGTATTTAACATCTTCCACATTCCGAAACCCCTAAAAATGTCTCAACACAAAACCAGTTTTCTGATAAAAGGAGCAGAGATGACAGACTGTTCAGAGGATTTCACTAAAATCTGGGTTCATCACCTTTCCAGGGCTAGAGAAGTCCTGACTTCACAGAATATCTATTTCTGCCCTGAATAAAAAAAAATCTAAAGTGTCTTTTTATAAATATATCTGCTAGGTTCAACCAAATGATCCATGTTCTTGTAACTAGTCATTGTCCTAGAAGGAAAATCCAATATTTTTATGTTAGAGAAGCAAAAGACAAATCTCTGAATTTTGTAATTTATATGCAAATAAGAAACATGTCAGGAATCGTATTTTGTTTCCCAAAGCTGCGTTTTCTTCATAAGTCTATTAAGCCAAATTGTGTGACCTTATGCAAACTACAAAACCTCTGTGCCTCATTTTCCTTGTCTGTAAAATGAATATGTGAGTCTAAATCAAGTCAGTCCTCTGGCTTTTGTGAAATATTAGTAACACTACTCGCTGAGACTTAGACTGTCTTTATACTGGTAGACACTGGGTTAATGCTTTGTGCATAACAACACAGAGCAGAAGCCATGGAGAGCGTATAGAAAATATTATTCCTATTTAGAAATAAGAAAACAATGTTTGAAAAGTTAAATGGCTTGTATAATTCATACACCTCGGGAGAGCTGTCCAAGGGAACTTATTTAATAATGATTACTACCAAATATTTAAAAGCAAAAATTGACAGAATACTATAGCCTTTAGTCATATAAAGCCAGCATCAAAGAAATGCTTTCTTTTGGAATCCTCCCTCTTGTTTCTATTTATTTATTCACTTATTTGTTTATTGAGAGAGAGTCTTTCTATTCCTTGCCTAGGCTGGAATGCAGTGGCAGGATCTCAGCTTACTGCAACCTCTGCCTCCTGGGGTCAAGCAATTCTCCTGCTTTAGTCTCCCAGGTAGCTGGGATTACAGGCACAAACCACCATGCCTAGCGAATTTTTGTATATTTAATAGAGATGTGTTTCGCCATGTTGGCCAGGCTGTTCTCAAACTCCCTGAGCTCAGGTGATCCACCCGCTTTGCCCTCCCAAAATGTTGGGGTTACAGGTGTGAGCCACCACTCCCAGCCTGTTTTTATTTTTAAATAATAAGGTTTAAAAACTTTGTCTTCACTTCTAAATTAAAAGGCAGCATGTGTAATACATAATAAGAAACCGCAGCTTTTGAAATGAAAGCAAGCAAATTCTGAGGGCAATGGTTTGCATTGTCCCCAGTATCCAACGAGCAGTGTTACCTTAAGAAGATTATTTAGCCTGCTAACTAGTTGGTTACCTCATCTCTAAAATAGTAATAATAGCTCTGAATTAAATATACTTCAGCATGAAATGAAATTATGTATATAAAGTACTGGGCCCCCTGCAGGGGTTTCCTTCACAGTAATTTCACACCCATATTCCTAGCCTATCTTACAAATGATATTATTTTGGGGGTTATGACAGTCATTTAGAACATATCCTGGAAATCCACCACCTTATTTTTGACAGGAAAAATTAAGGCATTCATTTTTAATACAAGGTATTCATTCATCCAAATTCTTACTGAGCATCTAGTTCATTTCATGCAACATAATACACACTAGATTCAAGAAAATGCCAAATTTATTAACATTACATATTATCAGGGTCATTCCTTACCATTGTATCCTGGAACACTTTTTCCTGCTTGCCCTGGTGGAGGTGTTTTAGAATTGCCTAATCCAATGCATGATGCTGTAATTGGAGATCCAGTCTCTGGAGAAAGAAATGTTTTTAATCACTTCATGTTTTAACTCAGAATCACAATGTTTCTTAAGTGCATGCACACTCTACCCCACCCTAGTTTGGCACATAATGTAGTTGCATTAGGAATAGATGAATAATACAAACATATTATTTAAAAATTTAAAATTATTAACCTATATATCTACAGTATTAAAACTTAATTCATATTTATAATAATTTACATAGTAGTGTTTCTTCTAAAGAAAAGAAAGGCTGCTCTAGTGTTTTCAATTGTGGATCAGCAGGCGTGAAGAATGAAAAACGTGACTGCAGCGGTTCTATAACACACCTTAAAAGCTAAAATGATCACTAGAAAAGATACTTTCTCTTGACTCACCTAAAGTTATTTTATTTATCATTGTTAATTACAGTTCTGCCAAAATATTTTTGTTATTTGTACCTTATTCTCTGTAATAAGTAACCCAAAAAATTTTGAAATTATTGGGTTGATGCAAAAGTAATTGCAGTTTCTACCATTACCATATACATGATATAATTATATCATGCTCTAATTTCCCAAGAACTACACTTGTCTAGAGAACCTGCATCTAAAGCTGAATTTGGCAATACTTTATCAAGTTGTTCAGAATCTGCTGCTCCTGGACGTTAGAAGCCCCAAAACACAGGAAGGAAGAAAATTATAGTCTGCTGACTATTCCATCAGAACCACAAACTTTCTCACAACTAACCTCAATGATTGACGAAAAGGCTAAATTTCTTTTCTGTGTCTCAAGTTGTAACATCCAGAATATTAGCTATTACCTGATAACCATAAGTCCTGAAAGTAATTCTTTTTAATGGAGTAATGCACTTATTAACATTGATTGACAAAAGCAAGTTTGGAGTGAACATAATCTCTTAAATATGAAATATGTATGTATGAAAGGGCAGGAAAACAGTACTGGGATAGTGAAGAGTTTGGGAATTGCTGGCTTAGTATTATACACATAACCTGTATGTACATATACCCATGGAATTAACTGCTAAACCCATCATACCCAAAGTAATCCAAAAAATTAAAGGCATCCATCTTCTGAAGTGCTCAGAATGTGTTTCTTCTACCATGTGCTCTACCGTAATTTACCACATATTTATATCACTTTAGAATGATGGGAAGAATTTATTACTGTTCTTTACCTTCCAAAGTAGTTCATTTTATTATTCACATTTTATGGATGGTGGTTCAGCAGGCATCAGTAACAGAAGATGAACTCTTGAACGTCAAAAGACAGTTCCTAAGTCACAGTCTAGTGCTTAAGATGCTAAGCCATATGGTCACTGCTGAGGATCATCAGCAAGTAACCAGAGCAGACATTTCTGATGCTTAACAAAGAGTTCTCATGTATTTTCCAAACCTGATCCCCAAAAAGGAAGATATTTAATGAAATGGCAATCCATAGACATGTAATACTCCTGCCGATTTTCCCCACAACATAATTAAAGCAAGGAAGGAAATCTGCATGGTCAGAAGCATTAACAGCTTTTCCTCTTGTTTTTTTTTTTTTTTTTTTTTTTTTTTTCAGAAATGTCTAGGTTCTCACTTCAGCTAGCCTTCAAAATAGGTATGAGAGGCAAGAGGAGGGGTGATGACAGGAAGCAGTCTTATAGAGTGAGGTGCCTAAAGAAGACAGGCAGAACCAGTAAGAGGATAATGGGAAGAGAAACTACTCGGACACATTAGGAAAGGAGACACCACTTTCAAGATACTTTTGGTATGTTTACCACCCTGGTGCAAGGAAGCTGCTAACGTAAATTTACTTTAGAAGTATTTGTTACCAAGTTTAGTTTATCAACAGGGACACTCCAGTTACCTAAAGTTCTTAACACATAGAGCTTTTACAGCTTGTCAACTAATGGCTCTAGAATCTGAAGTGTGCCTACCAAGGACTCTTGTACCAACTGCCTAAAAGAAAAACAAACAAAAATCCACCACAAGAAATCTCTAGCTGCACCTTACTCCGTCCCACCTCAGTGTAGATTCTCATGGAAGATGTTATCACTCTGTTCTTGCTATCACACTGGGAGAAGGGAAATGTAGGGAAAGGTGAGAATATAAGCTAGTCTTAAATAAAGCTCCAAGACTGTAAGAAAGGATTAGTGAAGTATTGTCCATATTCACTGCCTAAGCAAGCTGATATACAAACCTCCTGAGATTCCCAAGCATCTTTCTATAGTTATTATTCATTTATAATCCTAATCCTTTATCATTTTTTATACATTATAAGACAACTAGGAAAAATTTATTTTTCTATATGATTGATTAATTATATATTTTCTATATAATTAATCTTAAGGGTGCTGAAAATGAGGTTACCTAAAGTAGATAATACACGCTTATACTTTGCACATTAGTAATTCAAGTGTCCTATTGACCTTATTGATTGATCCATTCGGAGGATTAGAAAAAGAACAATTGCTGGCCGGGCTTGGCAGCTCATGTCTATAATTTCAGCACTTTGGGAGGCTGAGGTGGGTGGATCATCAGAGATCAGGAGTTCACAACCAGCCTGGCTAACATGGTGAAACCCTGTCTCTATTAAAAATACAAAAATTAGTGCAATTCTAGCTGCTTGGGAGCCTGAGGCAGGAACATTGCTTGAACTTGAGAGGTATAGGTTGTAGTGGGGCAAGATCCAGCCTGGGTGACAGAGCAAGACTCTGGAGGGGAGGGGAGGGGAGGGGAGGGGAGGGGAGGGGAGGGTGGCGAGAGGGGCGAGAGGGGCGAGAGGGGCGAGAGGGGGAGGGGGGATAGGGGGAGAGAAGAGAAGAGAAGAGAAGCAAAGCGAAGCATTGCCTGTGACATGTAGAAAATGACACTTCCTAGGACTCTAAGCATATTAAGGAATCATAGAAAGGATAAAAGTGAGCTGAAAAAGATCGTAATTGTTAGATACTTTGGTCCTCCTTCTTTGTACCTCTGAACATCCTGGGACCTAAGCACTGACTCAACTTCAACATAAACATATACACATTTTCTCACACTCATGCATACAGATGAGATAAACACCCTTGCTCTCAAACTGATCCATGTGCAGAATAGGCTTCAGGTTAGTGACAGCCCCTAAAAGCATGCTACAATCCTTAACTGAAATCCTATGGATTCCCAAAGCCCCATTTCAAAGATGTTCTAAAAACATCTGCTTCATACTACCCAGCCTGTAATTACGTGGCTAGCAGTTATCTAGGGAGACAAGAAATCTAGATGTCATGTTGTAATTGGGAAATAGCTACAATAAACAAACCAGAGCATTTTCTTTGTGGAAGAGCATTGGATATTCATTTAGAGACATCTACACAAAAGCACCTAGCCTTAGAAACACAAAATCTTCAGCAAATCATCAGCATAGTTTCTTTAGATAAGAGACAGGAAGAAGATGACAGGTAAATGAAGGGTGTGAAGAATGTCACCTTAGCACATTTATCCTCATACTGCATTAGAAGCTAACAGAGAAACTTCTCTGTTTTCAAAAAAGGGCAAACATCATAGTACCTTCACTGCATGTCTTTACTGACTCACTCTACTTTATTATATAACAAGTTGTTAACTAAATGAATTTTCTTTAAAATTTCTAACTCTGAAGTAAAAACAGGGAAGACAACTAGAATCATATTTTTTAAATATGAGTTATGCTATATACCAAAACTTAAGAGCTTTTAATCTAAATAATTGTGTTTAGTCCCACTACAAGACTATAGGGAGAAAAGGTAATATTATTTTTACTGATGAAACATTCTGAGGCTTAACCAAAAAAAATTTAAACAACTTGTTCTAGTTTTCATAGTTTTTTCAAAGGAGAAGAATGGAATAGACAAGTAGCACTTCTGAAGTTTTCAAGTAAAAGAGGATGAGCAGGGAATAAAATCACCTAGACTGTCTCAGTAGAGGAAGAAAAATCCCTGTTGACAGGAAGTGAGCCCTGTCTCCCATACTTGCAAATGGCAGTAGTGGTGGTACAAATCACTTATTAGCAAAGAGTTTTTGAGCAGCTATTATGTGCTAGGTGGTGGTGTTAGAACTGGAGATACAATAATAAACAGAAGTAGCCAAAATTTCTACCCTCATGGAGACCTCCCAATTTCTAAGTGGAAGACAATGAACAACATATTATACAAAAGTAACAATGTATTGTGCATAAAAGAGTGATAAATACTAAGGGAAAAAAGAAAACATAAACAGAGTATGAAATGTCATGGAGAGGAGTCGCAATTTTGTATTGAATAGGAAAGACCTCCCTGAGTAGGTGACATTTAAGTCAACACCTGAAAGAAGGGAGGACATGTGACACTTAGATATTTAGGGAAAAAGAACATAAGAGAAGGAAACCTCAAGTTCAGAGATCCTGAGTTGGGTTTATTCCTAGATTGTTTGGGAACAGTGAGGGAGGCAATGTGACTGAAAGAGAATCACAGAATTAACAGAAAGTATTAATAGGAAATAAGGTCAGAGAAATACTGAGGAGGCAGATCATGCAAGAACACTTCATATTCATCCTAAGACCTTAGTCTGAGTGATACTGTAAGCTAATGAAGTTTTGAACAAAAAGTGAATGAATCATAACAACATAAAAGTAATTTATTTAAATGATTACACACCATTCAGGTTCTATGTACATGTTTATTTTATTTGGGGTGCAAGAGAGTTAGATGTGTAGTAGGAAATGCAGAGACAGACGGAACTGTATTAGAATAATTGGTTAATAGATTTCTGTGGCTTCCTAAACATCAGGGACCAATTCACATGATTATTCACAAGATTGACAGAAAGACCAGGGTCCAGTTGGATGGTAGATGACAGACTCTGGGTAGATGGTCTGCATAAACCAAAGATATTCAATCCTTTTTGTTATATAAGTGTGAGCATGTATAATATTGATAATTTCTAAAAGACACTTTGACAACTCTTATGAAAAATCCTTTACCTATTTTGACTTGTGATTATTATGCATTCTGTGCCTGTATATTTCATACAA